GTGCTTGATTTTTGAGTGCTTGATTTTTGAGTGCTTGATTTTTGAGTGCCTGATTTTTGAGTGCTTGATTTTGGAAGGGCTTGATCTCCGCGTCCTTTGGTCTCCGCGTCCTTGAATGCTGCGTGCTTGATTTCCGTGTGCTTAATATTCGGTACTTTGGTTGGGTGTATGTACTATGTACTCCCGTCGACTGGAGTGCCCTTTGCCATGATGCCATTCTGTCCAAGGTGCCGTACGGTACTCGTGTCGACTTCCGACTCGACTTAAGGTAAAGTAGGTAGGTACCTACCTGGTGTGCCCTTTTGAGGTCTCAGCAGAAGAGCGTAAGAACTTCTAATGAGGGCATCAACACTTCGAAACCTTCCTCTAATCAAGCTCCGGTCAATTCTTGACTGTTCACAATCGATCCTCAGGCGATAGCTTCCAATAAACAATCTCGACTCGCCATCAATTACCGGACATCCAAACATTAACATATTTGTTGACAGCCGAGCCTAAACCCATCGGCAAACCGATGCGACCGGAACTTGGTTTCCATTGGCGCCAGGTAATCTAATGATTGACCAGGTAAACCTTTCGACCTTCGATCTACGGTGTAAGCGAGTCATATGCTGTAAGAAAATGAGGTGCTCGTCACCCTGTGTTCGGGCTCATACAATCTAGGCTCAACATGGAGGATGCTGCTGCCCTGGTTGTTGGGCGCTGCATGAGTCGTTTTTTGAATCTTCACGTACGTCGGATGCCTCGCAGGACATCAATCACCTCAACTACAATGCCTACAATGTTACAGCAGAAGTGAAACATGGGACGGAGAAAAGAGGGACAAGCGTTGGATTACGGGTAGTTAGCCGGTGCTCTGTCTACCGCAGAATTGGTGTAGAGAAGACAGTTTTGGCATTTCCTCGATCTCAGGCAGACAGTTGCCTCCAATCTACGGTGCGAGCTGTCGATGGACGATCGAGTCCCGTCTCCTACTACCTGCTACGCGAGCTGCAGCATACCATTAGTTAAGGTATGAAGTTTGTCAACCGGTATGCCAAACATCAGGTATGGTGCAGTGTATTTGAGCCGAGTACTCCGAACCTGCCCGCCGATGTCCAGGAGAAGGTGCGAAGGCATTCCTTCATGGGAAGGCGGCGGGTGGGTGGTGGGAAGTGAAGACAACAAGAGGAATTGGGGAAGTGGTACAAAAGTAAACGGCTCCAGCTGGATGACTGGTTTACCCTAAGTACTATTACCGTTAATCGAGGCATCACCAATCTGGCGGAGGATTTCATGTCGGTGCCTTCCTGTGCATACATCTTTTGACGCTGCGCAGCCTGTACTCATTGCTATACGGAAACAACGGTCGGGAATGTGCGCTTGAAGCCCGGCAGGCGCTCGGTACCCCGGAGTTTGATTCAGGCTTGAAAGGCGGCAGCAACGATAGTGAGCGCTAACGGAGCTCAGTAGCTGCGATACGATGGAATGGACTGAAGGGGGAAGGAAAGACAGAGAGGTAGGAGCAATGGAGCATGAGGTGAATGACTCTTTGGAGTACCGGGAAGAGCAAGTCCACCTCATGCATGTCTCCTTCGTATGATGCCACTCGCTTCATACTTCATGAGCTTTACGTGATTCAACACTTCCATTCCATTATGCATCGAAGTGACTCGACTCCAAACCGCCAAAATGGAGAGGAGCGGGAGCGATCCACCAATGGTCATGAATGCTTTCCATCAACACTACAAAGTCGACTGAAACTTGTTGCTGATACTAATTGCCCCTACTCATTGGGGGCAGATCTAAGTAATGGAGACGTGTAGACCAAGAAGATTCGTAGTGTTGCCATGAGGTTCGGTATTCATTGTCCTTGTTTGGTATGACGTTGGGTGGCTTAGTGACGTCTAGACAAATTGAACCCTTGGACAGAGTACGCGATGTCACTATGTGCTCAGTGAGGTCTGCAGAGCCATCCATCCGCACCTAGCTTACGGGGCTGGATGTAGGATGAGAATGCTTAAAGTCGTTTCTTCTCAATCAATCATTTGATTCGTAGCTATAGGTATAAAGCTTCCGTCCCCAGCTGGCTTGCCATGCAGGGATGTACTTGACTACGGTAGTACGGAGCATCCTCCGCGAAATAGAGGCTCGCGAACTGAAGCCGGGCCCATCGACATGTGTAACATTGCCTACACGCCAACATGCTGGTACTTGAAGCCCGAAGAGAGCCTGGTGGATGAGGGCCAGTGACTTAACGTGATGTCGAGATTCCCATCCAAAACTCGTGGAAGGCATCATGGTTACCCATGCGGGACAATGTCGGTCTCCTGCCTGATTCCAGTAAGCCAAGGATGTCATTCCTACGCAGTGCCAAAAATGCCTGAATTCATATCTCTCCTCCTCTCGAGCTTCCCTGTACCCAATTAGCAAGCCTGTCGTCCCTAGTCTCAGAGACCTTTGACAAGTACTCATTCCTCAAGATACACAATCTCAGGATCTCACATAGCACTCCATCAAAGCTCACGGCTAGAAAATCCATGACGTCCGAACCACATCCAACCTTCCTCACTATACCCCTCGAACTCCGTCTCGAAATCTACAAACACCTCCTCACCATCCATGCTATACCTCCCGAGTACTACTGTTACCACGGAATTCCCACGTATCCTCACGCCTCCAACCCACCACCACCACCACCATCACCGCGGCCAGAACTCCTCCATCCCCAAATCCTGCAGACCAACCGTCGAGTCAACAGCGAAGCCACGCCCGTCCTTTACGCGCTCAACACCTTCACCCTGACCCTCGATGCCCACGCCCACCAACCTCAACCCTGTCTCGAACTCCCCCTCCTCGGCCCACGGGACTGCTACTCGTACTGGTACTGCTACCCGCCGGTAACCAGCCCACACCTAGCGGCCCAGATCCGGCACTGGCGCTTGCATCTCGCACTAGACGACCACGAGCCGTTCCTCCCGATCGATTCATCGTCGTCGTCGTCCCGACGAGGACCAACCCAACCCCAACCTCAACCTCAACCGCCGCTGCACGTGCCGCGATCCACCATCACCACCACCACCACCAGCGCTGCATCCTCTGCTCCTGCTCCTGCAACTGCAACAGCAACAACACCCACGGCACAGACTCCGGCTCAGCTGCTCACAAACGCGACGTCAGTGACCATCTTCCTCCGGCGCACCCTCGGCGCACTGCTAGGCGGCGCCAGCAGCGTCGATGCACTCCGGCCCTTGGAACCTGTCCGCGGCGTGCGCCAGGTCATTATCGAGCCCACAGCTCTGGGCGGCGGGGCGGTGCTGGAAGGGTTTGGGGGGTACATCGCGTGGCTGGTTGGGGTGATGGGCGCGGCGGAGGGGGAAAGGGTCGGGGAGAAGTACATGCCGCGTGATGAGATCGAGAGGAGGCGGTTGGAAGGTTGGGGAGGGTGGGTGAGATGAGAGAGGATTTTGGAGGGGATGGTGAATGGGATAGGAGGGTGGAGGGATGGATGGATGGATGGATGGATGGTGAAACGAGCGGAAGTGACTGCGAATACACATGGAACAGGGACTTCTAGTGTACCGAGCCAGGAACTGATCCCTTGTCTTACTTCTCCAAGGAGCAGCAGTATCTCGTCAAGTCGGACTGCAGATCAAGTGCAAAGCATGAATTTATCTACTGTCTATCCTCTAGCTGCTGGCTTGTATCTGTCTGCGGGTGTATCCCTGTATCAGTCTACGGCTATCTACCGCCATCGCTTATACTCCAGATGTCCTCTCCAGAAGCCAGAAGGAAGAAACAACAACGAAACTAGATACATCGAATCTCTCTCATCTACAGTCGAGGCGCCAAGTCCTCATTAACGTCTTCCCAGCGCTGATGGCGGGTGAAACGGCCCGAAAAAGCAAAAAGTATGCACAAAGGGAAAGTGAAATCAAAACAGAAATCATCGCCCCTTTATTGCCCCTACCCAATAAACGCCTCTCCCGCCCTGATGCGATGCGCATGCAATGCAAATGGTCTTTTGAACCGGGGAAACGGCTTGACCCGGCTCCCGAATTCGATCCCCCTCACCTCATTACAATCATTCGATGCCGCTGCGGATGCAATCAGGGTTTATGCAGGCCTCCCGATATGGTTGAACGTGACATCTTGCATTGGCGCGACAAGTGCCGCTGCAGAAAGTTTGATTCATGCCGTGCGAGGGGCGGGTCGAAGCGGGTTGCGAAAAAACTCGGCAGTCAGTCCGTCCGTCGGTAACCCCCATCTCAACCCCGCTTCACGGCCAAAAAGCCGCTTCGCCCGGCTGGAATGGACTTTCAGTTGCGACTCAAGCCAGAATCCTTTTCACCATCCTATGCTGTCCTCCCATTGCCCTTCATCCAATCGGGCAGAGATTTCCAACCCGGCTGCCCGGGACCAAGGGGCACCCTCCCAAAGTTGTCGTCCAGGTCGAGCAGGATCTTGAGCGCGTTGCGGGACCGGTAGAACGGGCTGTCGACGGCCTTTTCCTTGAGCGTCGCCATGGCCTCGGCCACGCCCGCCGCCACCTTGGCCTCGGACGGCTTACCCGGGAACGGGAGGACGTTCTGCAGGAGCTCGTACGCGGCGAGCGTGAAACCAAACTGCGGCGACGACCGGAAGATGCGCGCGGGCCCGCCCTTGAAGAAGGCGCGGAAACCCTCCTCCTTCCAAATGGTCTTGGCGGCGTGCCGCAGGCCCGTGTACGTCGTGTCGCCCTTACGCGCCTCGACCTGCAGGCGGGTCTTGATGACGTCGCACGGCGTCGTGAGGTATGCGGCCGGCATGCCGGCGATGGCGCCCGCCGTCAGGAGCTGCAAGATGCCGAGCTTCTTTGTCGAGGATTCGCCAAAGACGTCCCTCTTCAGGTGGTTGTACGTCGGGAAGTAGATGGCCGAGAAGGGCACGTCGCGCAGCAGGCACGCCGATGCACCCTTGTACAGACCGACCAGGCCGAGGTTGCGGACAATCCACATTGCGGAGCGCTTGGGTGCGCCCTCGACGCTCTTGGCCACCTCGCCTTGTACTTGGAGACGGATCTTGACGATCTCAAGCGGGTTGGTGAAGACCTGCACAGAAGGCAATCAGTATCATTCCAGGGTTTCGTCCGGAAAAAAAGGGTGGCAGACGTACAACCTGGCAACCACCAGCAGCACCGCCGGCAATAACCTCGTGGCCCCACCAGATCTTGCCCTGCTTATCCGAAAACCACCCTCGGACGAGATCGTTCACGGTAAGCTTGATGGCCTTTTCGGGCGCGACACCCACCAGCTGTGGCAGGACGCCCGAGTACAGGCCCCTGAAGCCCTCGTTCCGAATCACCTTCCTGAAGCAGTCAATCGAGTTGTTGTATAACCTCTGGCCGGGGCTCGCGCCGCGCTGGTTCTGCATCCTAGTCTTGACGAGATCGATCGGGTACACCATGAAGGCGCCAAAAGCACCCGCCATGCTACCCAGGGCAAAGTTGTACGCCGACTCCATTGCTTGGGCCAGGAACTGGGCCCCTTTAGACTTGACTGCGGCGGAAGCGCGGCTGTCTGCCTCATCATCACGCTTCCTCCAAGACGGGTCGAGCACCTTTGCAAAGTCCCTGAGGCCGAGCCTGCCCGAGAGCTCATCGAGACTGGCAAAGTGGAACAGAATGTCGGCCTCCATTGGTGTGAACAGCGAGAAGCGAGTGATCTTGGCTGCCTGGTTGAGGAACTCGGCCCTTGTGATCTTGCCGTCAGGGCTTTTGGCGCAGGCGCGACGGACAATGAGCTCAACCAGATCGATCTCCTTCATCATGTTCTGGAACGCCCGGACGTTGGCATACGATACCTTGCTGCCCTGCGCGATGTTGCACAGCGTGTGGAGGTTCTCGAGCAGGTGATCCGAGAGCTTGTGCTTGGACGTTTCCTTGATGATGCGTTCAAACTCTTCGGGCTCGATAAAGCCATCGCCGTCCTTGTCGAAGTACTGGAAAGCCTGCCGCACGCGTTCCCCCTGCAGGCCGCGCAGCATCTGTGAGAACTGCTGGTAATCCATGCTGTGTCTCTTCTTCTTGCTGCCGATGTACAGCTTGGCCCACTCGCAGTCCCAGTCGAACGGGAGGCTGTCGGGCCCCTTGTTGAGCTCGTAAAGGCGGCGGAAGTCGTCATACTTTACAGCGCCCAGGCGGTCGACGTCGAAGAGACGGAAGGCAATCTCGTACTCGGCGTCGGGCTTGCTGAGGAGGTTCTCAAAATACGCCCAGTCGGCAAGCGTCACTTTGCCCTTGTTTGTCCGATCGGCGACGCTGAACAGGATCGAGTACTGCTCCCGCTTGATTTTGTGCTGCAGCAGTATGCGCGCGTCAGCGATTATGCTTCCAAGCGAGGTGGAATAGGAAAACAATCGAACGACAATGCTTGCGACTCACATAATCTTCGTGCGGCGGGGCAATGGCATCGATAAATTGCTCAGCGCCGAGGTAGAGCTCGCCAGTCTCGGGGTCCTTGAGGGCATGCCGGTTGAAGCGCGCCTTGGTCTGCGCTGACAGCTGCGGAGGCTCCGTGGAGCCGACAAGCGTCTCCTTGACAGCCTCCTTCACGGCCGTGACTTTTGACATGGTCAATGGCGACGCCGCGGGTCCCGAGCGAACTCAATTAACCAATGTCGCGAAAGAAATGGATCTCGGCGCTGACGAAGCCACGGAATGGATTGAAGTGCTATCGCAACCCCAGTGAAAGCCGCAGTGAGTGGGTGCGATTCGCGAACGAAATGCGCAGGGTTGAGTCACTCTGCGGCTAGAGTCAACGAGTGAGGGAAATAGCTAAAAGAGAAAAAAATCACGACCTGTCGCACAGGTTGACTACTAGTCGCAAAGAAAGAAACCTTCTCCCGCCTTTTCTTGCAGACCGCCAACCGATCCTCCTGACCAATGCAAATTTATGACAAGAATTGGCTTGATCAGATGATGAATAACGAGACAGATGGTTTCATGAATGAGTGGATCTGGGGAAAAGATTCAACGACCGGCTACCCTGGGAAGGCTGTGGAGCGCTATTCCGAAGCTTCAAATTTTTTTTTAGCCCTTGAATGATTCAATCAATCCAATCCGATCCCGCACTCCCGGCGGCGCAGTGGGGGTTGACAGGCTGGGCACAGGCTGGGCTTGGCAACCGGCAACCGCAGAATTAACCGAGGGACAACATGATTGGCGCGGCAACTACCGCAGACATCCCCTGACCGAGTGTGCCTCCGTTGGTTGGGTTCCTGAGGTGGTGGCAAAGGCGGTCTCACGTAATTGCCCCGTGGGAAAGGTTTAGCGTCGCTAACTGGCTTGATCACCTTGGGGTTGGCGATCACGGCAGACTATACTAGACTAAGACTCTGGCCGACTCAAGTCAGTTTGCTGCTTGCTGCTGGCGATTCCTGGGAAACGCAATCCATACATACATATACTACTTGGATTACCTGCAATGTCATCAGAATACTGGAAATTCTTTTTGGTCTACCGTCTCTGTTGCTATCGCCTCTGCCAGAGTGTCAAACGAGCCGCCCCGACATGCTAGTAGTGATATTTCGCCATCTTGAGCAGGAAAAGAAAAAGATCCCGTTCGTAAGCCTGGCCTGAAGCAAATTATACTCGTACATGAAGCCCACTCTTTAACCCGGTAGACGGAAGTGCGCCCAAACCCATCCCGCAAGACGCCGTCCTGCCATGCTGCTGAATCCCTCTATCGGTGCTTCAACCATGGCTGTCCCGTGTTCATCCGAGTGCAGGAATATCCCATCTCAACGCCGCCCGAAGACTCTTTCGTAGCACTCCCTTCAGACACTGTTTCGTTCTCGGCGGGCAAAATTATATATAAAGACAACGCGAGGAATCGCATAGTAAAGGGGATGAGATGCCGTCGTTAATCTCATTAATTCATCACTTTGTGGCGTTGTTGCAGGTCGTTGCGGTGTTGTGGAGGATCGAAAACATTAAGGTAAGCACCAGATTCTGGAAGATCTAGGAACCAAGATAGGCATGATCCAGCTAGCGCGTGGTTCATGCCTGGGCTGACCGAGTCCAGACTGGCCCAGATATCTGATGCGGAAAGACAGGTGTTAGCAACAGTGACAAGGGGTAAGAGCATCGGCTCAATGTCTGCGGTAGCATGGTCGAGTACACCATCGAGAAGAGGCCGCGATTCTTCAGTGGTGGTGGATGCTCACCAAGTCGTAATAGGAAATCAGTCGAAAGGCCGAGTCCCGGCAACGCCGTAAAAGGATCCCAGAGCTCACTGCCCGGATTGTGCCGCCCTGACCATCGGGCAGCTGTTCCAGCGGAGAAGCGCTTCTCTAGGTCGGTTATGGAATAGATACAAAGAAAAATATAGCCGGTCAAGTTGGCTATCATCCGCAGAGCAACATGGCCTTGTCTACCCCTTAATAGGGATGAGGTTGCAAGGCGGCGTCGTGTAGGATCCACGCAGCTTATCATCGAAAAGGGATGAATTGCTTGATCGAGGACCTGCGCCGTACAGTAGAGAGAGCGTCATCCCACTTGCGATCTTTTCCGCGACTATTGTAGACGACTTTTGGTACTTAGGTGACGAGTACTTGTCAAATACTGCGCCATGGTGCTTCCGAGGGTCCTGGCAGCACTCAAAAATTGTCTGGAGAAGCGGTTTAAGCTGGCTCAGCGTGTAGCCGGAGTAGTGGACGTGGGCAGGCGTCTGCAAGTTATCAGTAAGTGCGCTCGATTTTCAGTGCGGCTAGTCCACGTACCCAACCTCCCTTGTCCAGAAAGAAACGGGAGATACAGTGCGCTCCGGCAGCAAGGTAGCTCGGAGGGCAGCCAACGAATCGCTCATCCATGATGGTGATCTCGAGGAAATATTTGGCCATCGTCCGTGTGTCAAGATCGTAGTCATCTGCCTTGCTGATTCGCCGGAGAAAGCTCATTGGACCGGGCCACCCGAGCTCAAACTGCAGCATGCTAAGCATGAAGCGCTCCGCCTTGATGATCTCTTCGGCCGTGTACCCCGAGTCTACCATGTAGACGATCTCCTGGACCGAAGGGCAATTGATCTCCTCGTATTTGGCGGCCAAGAAAAGGGCGGTGGCTCCAACAAGTTGCAGCTTTCCCAGGGAGACGACCTTGACCGAGAGAAAGCGATCGATGTAGTTGACTGTCAGGAAGAGGGTTTCTGGAAGAAGGCAGAACCGGTGGTGAACTTGCACCAACCAGTCCATGAGGACAGCGCGCATTGACCACTGAATCTCGGTCTGCACGTCCATGTAGTGTGGGTTGGGGAGCATACTGGCCTGCAAAAAATGTCAACAATGGAGCACGGGGGGGCCTGACAAGGTGACTGGGTACCAACCTCCAGATCTCTCATGTACGCGAAGATCTCCTCGCCATACTCGGCAACCATGCTCACGTCCCATTTATCTTCTTCCCACTCCTCCTCTGTCAGGTTTGCCAAAACCCACTCCTCTGCCATCTCCAGCTCCCTTCGAACGTTGGCCGTAACATTGGGCGCAAGCAGCGTTGTTAGGCCACCGGTGGTGTTATCGCCGAGTGAGCGGAACGAGTGCGCTGTCACGTAGCCTTGTTCCTCGTAGAGCTCCTGCTCCTCTTCCTCGTCGTCCCAATACTCCTCTGGCTCAGAGGTGACGGGGTGGGCTGGCAGTGTCTTGTTGAGGTCCGGAGAATCGGACTTTGAGGGGAGCCCAAGTGCCCGCTCAATACCAACAGGCCCCGGTTGCTCGTTGCTCACCAGCTGATAGGCGGCATACTCGGCCTCCTGCGACAGCCGCTCGACAGCGTCCTCGTAAGTCGCTTCCGTCGCCCCGTCGTCCATATCATCCTCGTCCTCAGAGTCAATTGTATCGTCCATTCTGACCGCAAACTTGCTTTGTGTGTGCAGAAGAGTCTGCTGTTCATTTCGGAGCACAGGCTGGCTTCTGTAATGGCGAGGGTTCTTAGCCGGCTTGGCCATCAGCGCAGCAAGATCATCGGTAGGCAACGCAGTCTCAGGAAGATCGCCCGCTTTCTGCTCCTTCCTATCCTGGTAGACGGCTGTTCCCTTCTTAGATACTCCACTCCTTAGTGGCGGGTTGGCTAGCGAAATGGCGGTGCGTTTCTGGCCGAGAATATTTGCACGGAGAATTGGATTTCCTGTCTGATTAGAACCTGCGGAGGAATGGGAAACGCCAACGGGGTGCTTGGAGATATCGCTAGCGGTCCTGGACGCGGTCGTGGCTCGCGACCACTTCTCTGTACGAGCAACCGGTTCATTTTCCTTGTCTTCCAGCCTGATGTCGTGGGTCTTGACAATTGCTGTCGCCTGCTTGACACGAGTCTTGACGGCAATCTTGCCAGCCGGTTCGGCAACGAGAGTTCGGGCAGTGTTGCTCACATCACCAAAGGCTGTTCGCTTGGGAGGAGCGTTGAGCGTGCCAGAGGTTGCCATGCTCCTGAGATTGCTTGCAGACTTGTGGCGCTGATGGATGGGTTGCTTCGCAGGAAGGATATTCTCTTTGTTGGGCACGGCTGGCAAGGCGCGAGCAGGGCGCTGGGGCTGTCCGTTGAGTCCTGGTCAGTGTACGGTCGCGAGGCACGCAAGTACGGGAAACGACGCGAAGGTTTTCGTGTCAGGTTTGGTGGGGTTGGGCCAGGAGGAGGAACTGGCAGTCACGGAGGGGATGTCGTGGAGGAGAGAGCAGGAGGATGTGATGGGATGGCGTAGGAGTTGGGATGGAAACCGGGGACAGTACCTTCGCATCCATCTCGGCAAATGGAGCGTGGGAAGTATGGAATCGACCTCGATAGACCTCTGATGTGAATATACCGTCCCTCGGCCTTGATAGAAGAAGTGTATAGCGTAGATACTAATCAAGTTGCGCGCTATGAAAGCCGGATAGTCAAGCTCTTCGACGTAGGCCGAAGCCGGGCTTGAACCCGGCGTGTTGTTGTTGTTGGTGGTGGTGTTGCTGTTGCTGATGATAAGACAGACCAAGCCCGTAATCTCATGGACTCCTGAAAACCAGCATGCGGTTTGTTGAGACACAGCAATACCAAGTCAAGACTGCCTCCGTCCGAAGCGTTGCGCAACGTCCTGAGCCGGAAGGGACGTGGTCACTGGCCACTGTGTTGAGGTGACGGGATCGGCAGTGGTCCGTGGATGTGGCTGAAGCTACAGAGAGCTTGCACTGGCTAACACGGTGGAAGCAACGCGCCGCACACTTTGCCTTAGCTGTCGGACACGTACAAAAATGAAGAATGACGAACTAAAAGTGCAATAGTAATGCCTTCTTTCGACGAGGCCTCTGAGGTTCGGAGGAAAGATAGGGAAGGTGTAGGATCGCTTCGTGAGGGTGAGGCTTCTCATGGATACAGTGTTCCATGGCGCTTTCTGTTTATGTCCTGACAGGCTTGGTAAACACACCGCGGGCAATGTTAGTCGATGTGGTCTGTGCCAACCCTGCGGCTCCTTCTGTTGGTCGTCGCGGCGACCTGATTCTTCCAGACCCACCTTAGCTACATGACGTAACTTCAGAGTTACGGATAGCCCTAGCGGATTAATGTGGGGTCTGGGCAAACGTCGCGTCAACTCAGCAGACCAATTGAGCAGACAACATCGATAAATGTCTGCACCGCGAGTCCTTCAATGCTCTTGACACCGTTTGTATTGCTGCAGACGCATAAATACGCTCGTTTCACTCCTTTTGGACAAAAATACGAGGCTTGCAGCTCCTTGTCGCGGTATATCGAGGCATCTGTTTCAAGCCGCCAAGACTATCGAAACAGAGCGTTGGGATCGCCAAACTTCCACGTCCTCACGTGAGTCATTTACCACGTTGCGCACCACATCAAAATTACGCTTCTCATCAAGCACTTGACGTGGGAATAGAGCTATTCGTTCGTTCATACTCACTTTGTTCAGCCTCCCAACCCCCACGGTGCGCTAATTCTACCGTCATCATTTTGCTTTGCTCAAGGGATCCCGCCGGAAACGACGCCCAGCCAGCGACCCAGGGTGGGGAATGACCGCTCTCAACGACCCAGCCACTCCGACCAGTAGGAGAGCTCGCGCGGCAGATGATGAAGCACAATGTTTTGATGTTTTGATGTTTTGATCAATTGACGCGCGACACTCCAGACTTATCGCGCGGGGCTGTTTGCCGAGCGGGGGGCACACAGAATGAATCAGCCGTCCAGACTTCTTCGATGGAATGTGATCTCGCTGCAGCCTTTGGAGCGACCTGGGCGATAATTCATTGTCTTGTCCGTCAATGGCTTTCGACAGGCCTCTCAAATTGCTCCCTAGCAATACACGGAATTTCGTCGTTTCGACTCACGGAGCCGACTGCCCTAGATGCTACTCGCGTGGGGTCATCAAGTTCGTTCAATGGCAGCTCTTGCCAGCTGAAGGTGGTGAATTGCATGGCCGTTTTGCCCTTGCCGAGTTTGCGGGCCGGAAACTTTAATGCCTCCGTCTCTCGCCACAATGCAGAGGGGTTGAAGGAGCACAACATTTCCTTCCTTCTGGTCTCACCTCTTTTTCAACCCCGCAAGGGCCGGCTAGACGTGGCAAATCAGAAAGCGAATTATGCAACAACACTAACGTTAGTTCTTGCAGTTGTGGACGCACTTGCTGCACGTCTCTCATCGTCCAGCCAGCTGTGAGGCGACAGACCTGGGCACAGATCGCCTGGATTAGTGGGGCGCCATCTGTTCTAGGGTCTTCCGGTTCCTAATAAGGGACGGCCTACCTACGGAGGTACCGCCTGTGTTAGGTCGCCCTTCAGTAGTGAACTGGGGCATCCGCATTGAGCTGAGAGGCATACATCGAGATAACGTACCAACCATACTGACCCGGATGCTTTCAGAAGGACGCAATGAAAGCTATCGTACTTCGTAACAGGTCGCAGATCGGCAGCTCGAAACGGCCAGGAGTGTGGTTCACTCAGGGCGCCCTCGATGATGGCTGGCTATCCCGCCAATGGATAAGCGATCCCCCCAAACCTTGAACAGGAGCGGTCGTCTTGGCTGCCCGCATGCAAAGACCAGAGCCTAGACCAAGAAAGAGTGTCGGGCGAGGTGTAGCAACGAGCGGGTGCTTTTGGAGTGACCTCAACCTATGCAGATGTACTCCCTCGTGAGATGTGTCATGGCCATCCACAGACTGGAGGGAAACAATTTAACCCGAGGTTTCTGAATACAAAACTGCGCGAAACGAGCATAGCCGGGGCAGCCTTGGGCTCAGCATTCACAAAAGATGCTTGGGAGTTTGAACGAGCTAATTCGACAGGGCCTTGGATTTGAGAGTTGAAACTCTGCCAGCGCATCGAGCCGCCGTCTCCGAAACTCCCCATCCTTCAAAGCGAGCAGCTACGCAAAATCGCCTCGATTACGAGCCCCGCCACCATCCTGCTGTCTTCACGGCAGGATTGCCCAGATCAGGGCGGGCAATCAAGGACCGGCAGATATGCGCATATACCTTGCCCATAGTGCCTTATATTTTTCAAGCCTGTTCGTACTTGCGCATTTTGAATTTCCGACTGTAGGGTAGTTGCCGGGCTCTCCCCCTGTAACCATTTTGAGTCGCTCAGAGTTGTCGGCGAACCTAGCTAACTTGTCTTATTCGTTGCGCCCACAGCGACCACCTATGATACCCGATCTAACTAGCATTCACGCAGCAAGCGCTCTTCTCGGCAATAACACTTATATGGCTCCCTCGCTCCAGCTGTTGGACCTGTTCTGGCTTCGTTTGTTGACCTTGGGCAGTCTTGCGTCTCAAAGGGTCTTTGGTTGCCAGACCCCTGCCTCACGCTAATCGCTGATCTCATCCTACCATTGGTTGGCCGAGAGCCGACCTGGCCGCGACATTCTACCGCCGGGGGTGTTTATCGACTTGTCTGGCGCATTCTCGTCCAGTGACTCCCGCCGGCCTCAGAGGCCCGGAAGTGGTATGCATCATCAATTCAACATCCCTAACGTTGTGTCTATTGCGCCGGGACGTCGTGTGCCCAAGGCAGTCGCATCGCACCGTCAGGCCATCCAATGCTTGATTTATTACTTAACCCATGCTCGATAACTACCAACTTTGGGCCATCCACCATGATGCCTAGAATCCAATTGTGTGCCGTCAAGGTACTGTATGTACAGTACAAGTACCCTAAAGATTCGATGCAATGCTCCGTTGAAGGCTTCTCAAATGCGCGAAACACTTTCGAGAGCCCCCTCTCGGGTGGCAGGGTGCTCCCCGCCAAGGTTTGGAGGTGAAAGAGGCATGGACATGATTTCCAAGTTACATGCCTCCCATTTCTTTCCCAAGTTTACCGCGACACAACGCATACTGTAGCGGAAAGACCTGTGCCTTGCCCTGACCGCCGACAGAACAGCCATGCTCATCCAGTCGCACCTTGACGGTGGCCGATTCAGCACCTGTGCTTCCCAGGAAACTGGATGATTGTGAGTTCAAGTGCCATGGGGAAGCGGAATTGGCTTCCGTCTTATTGCCGTTTGCGACAATTGTCTTCCCTTTCCAGACCGACCGGTCGAGGGTACAGTACATAAGGTACTCCGTACAGACGGCGCAACCTGAAGATCAGGAATGCGCCGTGTACTGTACTCCGTACAGCACATACATACCAAAACGAGAAATGAGCGAGGGCTGGGTAGCGTCGCTTTCTGCCTTGTCAATGGCTTCCAATTGCAGCTCTTGTATCAAGAAGGGCCGCGATTGTGTAGGACTGCTTCTTCCCATTCGAGAGACAAGAAGGCCAGACAAGGCCGGACTAGCAGGTGGTGCCAGCGCTGGCCGCCGTCGTAGTGGATTTCGACGCAAGCGCTGTGTTGGCCGTGCGAAAACGGGGTTCCACCGCCTCCAACGTTCAGCGCAAGGAGACAGAATTGCGATGAGAGTTAAGCGCACGAAGCGCAAAGTAAATTATGGTCTATATGTGGCCGTCAATAGGAGTATTGGTCATAAATTCCCTTTCATGCCGTCCAAATGCCTTGGTAGGTAAGGTATTCCCTTGGGATCGAGTTGCGGGTTTTGCGCCCCGGCACAGTGTCAAGTTAATGTGAGCCTGTGCTGTGCAGTACGTTGAGTGTGTCCGGGTTGGGTGGTGTGCGATTGCCGGCATCGACCTTTTTAATGCAGATTCTTGCGACTCCTCTATTCTCTTTCTACGCACAACTCCAGAATTGGTCAACTCGAGCCATCAAACCGCACCGAATCCTCCTGGTAAGTCATTGTCATTTTGCATCCGTCGGTCTACACCCGTCACTTCTTCCCGCTGCCAACTCCTCGATCGAATCTGTGTCCCGCGACCTAGCTGCTCACTGTCGGTCTGTCGAGGTCAGTGGCCCGGTTCCTTGTGTGCGCGAGCATCAAGAGCGCAAGCTTCTTCCAGCCGACACCACCGCTTTCCCGTCAACCTGGTAAGTGGTTTCGAACTTGTATCCTCATGCGATCGAGGCCACGCAGCAATATCCGACTGTATCTCTCTCTTCGCACCACAACTTGCTCCGCTGCTGGGCCAGTCATAACTTCTGCGCACAACTTCCGCTGCCAAAGCTCTGGGCACCTCCACCCGTCTACCTCCTCCTCCTCTCCACCGCCTGAGCAACAGCTCTTTTTTTTTGTTTTTTTTTTTTTTTTTTTCACTATCGCTGTTTTCGATGACTTCACTCCCTGTCGCACACAGAGCCTAACCGCTAGTTCCTTTTGGCAGATTCCTGAGAAAAATCGCGACCCTCAATCGCTGCGCTCGGCACCCGGTCCCTCCTCGCTGCGCTAGGCGGTGACTCCCAGACTAGTCGGTCTGTCGGCACAATCACTCTCAGTCGACGCCGTCTATCGGCCCAAAAACACATCATTTCCCAGCCCTCTTGGCTTGGAATGTAACTGTTCTGCCGCGAGACGACGTCGCCCGCACGCATTTGAGTTCCCAACCCAAGCCGCACCACGCGGCACTGACGCCGCCGGTATTCTTGCCTACCGACACGATATACATCGGCTTCACAGGGAAGAGCACCTTGCGGCAGTCTTAAAACCTCTGCCGTCGACATGGCCGCAACATCTTCCAACGGAGCAGGCCCGGGGCCGGGGGGTTTGCAAAGCGGCAGCGTTTCCCCTCGAACCGTCACTGCGCCAAAGACAGTCCAGTTTGTGCTGGTTTTCCAAGACTCACCGTACCGAGCGCGCTTGCCCTTGCGTGTTTCAATCTACCCCCATGACACCACAGACTCAATCATCACGACAGTGAAGAATTTTTACGGCCTATACTCGGGTCCAACCGTCTCGAAAGGCGTAAGTTTTGAGGACGAGCAGCGCAATACGCTCATCGCGCGTTACGAGAACTTCCGCAACAACATGACAGTCTATGTGCGTGTAATCGAGGAGCTGCCACCTTTTGGGTCACATGGTTACCACGCCGCCCAAGGTGGTCCCCAGAGCTACTACAGCGCCAATGGGTATGGGCCCCCAGCACCTCAGCAATCTGAACATCATGGCCCCCGTCCTACGTCCAGGACATCGCGCCTGCGCAGTCCGTCTCCCAACAGCGGGCGCGGGCGCCGCAGCACCTCGGCGGGCACCAATGCTGCCGGCGGGAAGAAGGGGCGATCCCGGTCATCCAAGAACCGCTCGCAGACTAACGGTGACGGTCATAGCGATAGCTTCAACGGCTACAGCAGCGGCGATGGCGCCCCCGGTTCCTCATCGGGAAGAGCCAAGGAGCAGCTGGGCAACACGGACATCAGCGTAGAGAATATCGTTGAAGGTGGCCGTCGCAAGCGCGCCAAGTTTGAGAGTTCGGTAAGGAGGGAGTCTGGACTGGCAAGATCATCCATGTTTCGATCACTAATCTTTATTACTCTCGCAGGAGCTACCTCTCTTCGCTCCTCCGCAGATGCCTGCCGCCACCTCCAATCCGTCAGTGTCGCCGGCTCGACGGATGGACCCTCACCGCAATTCTCTGCCCTTCATTCAATCGGGGCAGAATCCGTTCAGCAACCCCGCCCCGCTTCAATCCCCGCAGGGCTATCATAATGGATATGGACATGCAGGGTTGTATGGGACACCTAGCGGTGAGCATCGCCGAAACCGTGAGAGCTGTGGGTTTCCCTCCGGCCCAGCAATGGGCCCAGGCATGCACATGATGCTCACTCCGGACCCGACAGTGGGGAGCTGTATGTCCGAGGAAGACAAGGACGTTGCTATACAGCTTATGCGTCTGGGCGAGATATCGACACACGGCCGGGCTTCGGCATCGACATTGGACGACACATTTAGCGGAAGGGCCGACGCCGCCTCCTCGACAGGCGCAACCAGCGAGGCCGACAGCTGCGACGAAGACGAAATGCCTGCGCCGCGGAAACAAAAGTTGGACACTTCGGGAGGCCAGAAGAGATTGTTCCATACCACTGAGAGCCACTTCGCTGGACCTCGAGATAGCGCCGAGGTTAGTGGCGACGACGCTGACTACTCAGATGGCGGCGAGAACGGCACAATGGCTACCCCCACAACCAAGCCTGCCAAACTCAAAGCCAATACCTTGGTGAAAGCTCGTCCACAATCATCGAGCAAGGCGAAGTCCTCCAAGCCGGCCAAGCCCAAAGCGAAAAAGGCAGTTAGTGGAGCAGGCCCCGCCTCCCCGGCATCACTTCCTATGTCTCGGAAGGAATCCACCGCCTCGAATCCGGCTTTCCCTCCAGTCCCCGGCGAGGAAGAGCAGCCGGATCTTTCGACGAAGCCCCGCTGCCAGCGCTGCCGCAAGAGTAAGAAGGGCTGCGACCGGCAACGGCCTTGCGGTCGGTGCCGCGATGCGGGAATTCCCGCAGAGCAATGCATAAGCGAAGACGAGGGCAACGGTCGCAAGGGTCGGTATGGCCGACACATGGGCGTGCCTATCAAGAAGGAGGACATGCCGCCCCCGGCGACCCCGTTGCTGCCGGCTGCGCCAATCGCTCCCGCTGCTGCTGCTACGCCGTTTGCCACCTCTCCAACCTCCGCCTTCAGCATGCTGGATAAGAATAAGAAGCGTAAGAGGTAGTCATGCGGTGATGGGTTGCCTCCTTACGGCACTCTTGAGGGAAAGCGCGAGTTCTGGGGATTTAACATCCAGCAGTGATGCCTTCGCTGGTGTCATCAAGCCTTTCGGCAGTTCATATCATCATCTGCTCGGCTCTTTTTAAGTCCTCCATAACGTTGAGGCGAATCTGCCTTCATACACCGGCGCCTGCATCGGCATCCACTCCTTTCAAACCGCTCCTCGCCAGTTCAACGCTCAACCACGCACACGCCGAGGAGAGAAAAAAAATGATCAGGGATTGGTTGACGGCAATAGGTTGTTGTGTGTGTGCGTGTATGGGTGTCTGTCTATCTGAGTCGTCAGGTTCGATGAAAAAGGAAAATGTACTCTTTCAATCTTTATCGACTACTCCGCCGCCCGTCGCACGTCGCCCGTCGCACGTCGCACGTCGCACGTCGTTCGTCGCCCATTCGGACATCTACGGTTCTTTGTCTTGGGAGTTTTGGGGCTCTGATTTTTCTTGTTCTACCGCATCTCCGGGTCAGAGCAGACTAGCAAGGCAATTTTTGCATGGTCTTTACTTGGGCGCATCTGGTTTTCTTTTTCCTATCACAGCCTTCCTTTAGTTTTATTGTTTCCATGTCCACTCATTTTGCGCTTGGCTTTGCTCGCACCGGATGGAAACCCGTTATTTTCATGCCCGGTGCTGGGTGGTGATGCGTCCCTCACCTCTTGTTGCAGGGGGCAAAGGGGTCATCGAATAGGGAAAAGGCCCGGTTGTCGGGAAGGAACAGAAGGTGGTTTGGTTCCGTCCGAGAGGAAGTGGGGAGGAAGGGGAATTGAGATGAGGGTGAAGGTGAGGATGAGGGACGGGTATATCTTTGTGGTTTGCCAGGTTCTGTCTGCGGACACTGGACTGGCTGGATTGTAGCTTTTGGCTGCGTTGTGGGAAGGGGTGCCCGGGAAGGGAGAGTGAGAGGGGTGCAAAATCGGCGGGGCTATTGAAGCTTGAGAGCGAGGACAGGTTTAATTGAGTCTTTGGGTGGTTGAAAAACAGGGGTGTACTAACCCAAGGTCCCAACGGAGAATTCCGGATTTTCTTTTCCCGTTTTACGCAATTTTCCTAACCCGGACTTCTGCGGTGTTGGTTGTCTCTGGGGAGGATGGATGGGTGGTGTCGTTCCGTTGGTCTTTTGGTCTTTTCGGTCTCTGGGCCTATGTTCTTTGGAGTTGATTGACTTGCTCTGGGTCGCTTGGCTTTGCCTCTGTTTTTATATCTACCTTGTCTCCAGCCATTCCTCTTTTGGGTCCCATCTGCCGCTGTATGCTCCCTCGCCGGAGGACTTCGGTCTAGGATTTTGCAGAGTTCGCGCGGGTGCAGTGCTAAGCGTACAGTACATAGGAGGGAGAAGCGGTGGGAAGGTTGGCCAACTTTGGAGTGGAGTACTAGCAATCTACAGTGCCTTACTTACAAAGGTTGTTAGCGGCTGGCAGAAATCGATGTTCAACAGATCCAGTTCGAGATATCTCTGTATGTGTATTCCTGCTGGGTTGAGTGGGAGCGATTAGCGGTTCCTGTCTTGTCCTCGTCTATCCCAAGCAAAGCTTACGGGGGAGCCATAATATATGTAGTATGCTCCAGCGCGGCTTGGGGTGCCCTTCCAGGCCCCAGGGGATGAACGTAACTCCAGCTTGGGAATATATGGAGGTATAGAGACGTATCTACAGGACACTCGACATTGACCTCCAAGGTTGGAGTTGCAGTAGTCTTGCGCAGACCAGGATCAAAATACTGCGGAGACTGTTATAGTGTATGTAGAGTCAGGTAAGGTTAAACTGTACACGTGTAGAACAAACTTTGCCGCTAGTCCAATTTTAGCATAGCATCCGGGAAACGGCGTGGTTGGGGCGGACGAGTTTCCAGTTCTTTTGAATGAGAACAGAAAGAACCTGCCTGTGATCTGCAAAAGATGGTTACAGCTGTTTTGGGGGTTTGAGATCGAACGGTTTCTGTGACCCGCTTTTTCCCAATGATTTCCATTTGCTGCAGGATCTGATGGTGCCGGCCCGCAGGGTGTCATGTGGGGTCGGACCGGCTGCCTTCCCTTTCCGATCAGATAGGGCAGAATGGAATCACCTCATTGGCTGTTTGCTTCCAGGCGCCATGGTTGGATCCCGCTCGGCTCTCTGAGGGTGGGGGTTGGGATTTGCAGGGTGGCAGTTGCTAGCAGCTGGCTGGCTTGTGTGAAAACGGTTTGGGTCTGAGACACCGTTGCATTGAAGATCCCCCGGACAAAACTGGCGGTCAATGGCTCTTTATTTTCACAGCACCATTATTGATCTTTTGTGCTGTCGTAATTTGGCAGGCTCACCGCCGATTTCTTTATGATTGTCTTGCTATTCGTCGCATGACTTTGACGTTGACTTTGCATTTCCGTTGAAGGCCTTGGCGACATACAAAGGCATGCTTCTCTCATTGTGGCGACGGCCGGTCTCGTTCTGGATTCTTCAATGCCGTCACAATCATGGCAGCCCAGCAGGGTAGCACGACATCAACTTGCTCGGGCGATTCTGCCGGTGGACAAGTTAGGAAAATCCTGACTTACATTTCACTTCAAGCTCTTGATAAGCGAGAATATTCAGGGTTTCGGTTAATATCTCCTTTGCTTCCCTCCCTAGTTCCCAGTTGCAGTCAATGCAACGCATACATCGGCGATCTCATATTTTCGGTCGGTCCTAGAGTGGGGTCAACGATGCCAACAGCCTGGGCGGATTATGCGAGCGGTCTCTCGTCGCCAGCGGCACTGCTGACTCCCCGGGTGCTTCCGGACGAGCCTGTCGGATCCGGTTTGCATTGAACAGTATCCGACAGCAAGCCCTCCGACGGCATCGTCTCCGATACGGCTGTGGGCTTGTGGCGGATCACTTGCATTCTCCCGGTTGTCTCGAAGGAGATGGCGCGCAGACGCAATTGCGGGGAACTGAACCCGGGCCGTGATTCGTCGGAAGCCCAATCGCTGCTAGCTCTTGCAAAGGGCGTGGAGAATGACATCGAAGACCGCGCGATGTCGGTGTCGGCGGAAATAACACCGGAAGAGGCTTTCAGGTGGAGCTCTTTCGCAAACTGTGACGGCGTAGCATTCACCAACGATCAGGTTGCTACGGCTCGACTACGGTCAGAAAAATGGCTGGCTTTCTTCCCAGAGACTTCAAGCAAGTTTTCCCATGGTGCTCTGCGGATTTCATCTCCAAGTGATCAGCATCGCCAAATTCGCGTCAGATGGCTACAGAAGACGACATCGAGAAAACACAGCCCGGCAGCAGACAGCCTTCGCATCTTGATGATGAATTGGGCCCCGGAGCCGCTACGCTCCATGCCCAAGACGGCTTTCAACCTCCTGACGGGGGTCTCGTTGCTTGGTCTCAGGTCTTGGCTGGGTGTTTTCTCAACATGATGGCTTGGGGATACCCGTCCACGTTTGGTGTATATCAGCTCCACTACCGGGATACGCTCAAACTACCCGATGCTCAGATATCGTGGATTGGCTCTTTGCAAGTCTTTCTCGCCTTTGCCATGTGCGCGTTTTCAGGGAGACTGGCCGACGCTGGGTATGTGAAAGCGACCATTGCGGCCGGTTCATTTCTAATCGTGTTCGGGACGTTCATGACGAGCCTGGCCTCGGAGTATTGGCAGATTTTCCTGGCTCAGGGGTTGTGCACGGGATTGGGCTTGGGCGCTATCTTCATGCCTCCCTTGTCGGTTATCAATTCGTACTTTAAGTCGAAGAGGTCTTCAGCCATGGCTATCTCGGCAACCGGGACGGGTCTTGGGAGTGTGATATTCCCCGCGACGATCCAATATCTGATACCCAAAGTCGGCTTTCCATGGGCTGTCCGCTGCGCTGCCTTCGTGGCGCTGGTCATATCGGTTCTCGCGTTCCTGATGTTGAAGCCGCAGCTGAGGCCTAGAAGGTCCGGGCCACTTGTCGAATGGGACGCTTTCAAAGAGGGCCCCTACCTGCTATACACGCTGGGTGCCTTCCTCTTTTTCTGGGCATTATATTTTGGCTTTTTCTATGTGAGTACAGCAGCCTCCCTCTCCGCGACTTCCCCATGCTCATATTGTGTACAAGATCAACGCATACGCCCGCAATGTCATTGGCTTCTCCACGACCGACTCGGTCCAGCTCCTCCTCATCACCAACGGCATGAGCGTCCCAATCAGGCCAGTAGTGGGCTACCTGGCAGACCGGCACGTGGGTCCGATCAATCTGTACGCGTTCCAGACTTTTGTCCTTGGCTGTATGATCTTTGCTTGGACCGGCGTGACCACTCCAACCGGCATGTATGTGTTCTCGGCCTTCTTCGGTCTGGCAAACGGAGCGGCGCAGGGCGTATTCGGCGGGGCGTTGGCCAGCTTGACAAAGGACCCGAGAAAGATGGGTACCCGGTTTGGCATGGTCTGCACCCTCGCGGGATTTGCCACACTCGCAGGGCCGCCGACAGCCGGCGCCATCATTGACAAGTCCGGCGGTCGCTATCTGTGGGCTCAAATATGGGCAGGGTTGGTGATTGTGCTGGGCTCTCTGACGCTCGCGGCAGCGCGTTGCGCCGTAACGGGATTCAAATTGAAGGTGAAAATCTGAGACCAACGTTGGACACCTTCGATTCTCAGTGATTGATCAATTTGGCAAGCCGGACTTCTGCCATCCTGACAGCTGCACCCGGGGGAATACGGAGAAGAACAGAAGCCAAGTTTATTTCCTCTCTTCACTCAGAAGGGATTCTTCTGGTAAGCCTTCTCCGCCTCAGCATACGCATCATAGCCATATAAGAAAGGCTGGATCTCAGGACATGTCCACCGACTGGGAAACGGCGCTTTGAGCTCCTTGCCTAACATGCTCGTCATCAACGCATCCCTCTTCTCCTGCTTTACGCCGTCCTCCAAATGCGAGTCATCCCGCTGCTTGAACGTCTCCAACTGGATCCTCCACCCCCTCTCCTGCCTCAGTTCCTGATACAGCTTCGAGACACACGGCAACTGCCTCTCCTTGTCGCTCCTTTTCACCTTGCCCAACAAAGACCCCAGCACGGCCCCGTCCTCCAGGCTTGAGTTGGCGCCCTGGGCAAGGTAGGGCAGCATCGGATGGCAGCAATCCCCGGCCATGAAGAAGGTACCCCGATCATTGGCCCAGTCGGGCAGCGCGTCCAGCCACATCAGCCGCCACTTGTGCACCGCGCCCTTGACCTGGCGCAGGAACCGGACCAGCAGCGGGTCCCAGTTTCGGAACCGCGCCCGCATCTCGTCCATGTCCCCCTCTAGCTTGGTCACCCCGCTCGGCAGATCGTCCGGGCACAGGAAAACCATGTTGTACGCGTCGCCGCCGCGCACCGAGTACCCAACGCAGTGCGCCTTGGGGCCGATCCAGAAGTTGACTGTCGGGTTGGCCACGAACCGCCGCAGCTCCTCTGCATCCTCATCCTCGCCGCCAATGTCGTCCTTGTGGATGGTGATGCGGTAGGCCAAGTCCCCTGTCCGAATAGCCGGGCTAGGGCGGCCGACGAAGTCCGAGCGGATGGCACTCCACAGGCCGTCGGCTAGCAGCACCACATCTCCCTCTACGATGGTACCGTCGTGGAGGTGCACGACGGCAGCGTCGAAATCGACGCGCACGGCGCGCGAGCCCAACCGGATGCGCACGCCCAGCGACGTGCACCGCGCCACCATGGCCTGCTGCAGATCGACGCGGTGTAGGTCCCAGAAGGGATGTCCGTACCGGGACATGACCTGGCCCTGCAGGTCCGGCTCGTGGGCGAGTAGTTTGGTGCCGTCGTAGCGATGCACTGAGAGGGAGGAGGGCACGGCGGCGAGAGGCGCGAGGGTGGATGACAGGCCCCAGTGCGAAAGCAGGCGTGTGCCGTTGGGGGTTATTTGCAGGCCGGCCTTGGATGAGGATGGGGTGGCATGTTAGCCGGGGTTGGTTGTGAGGTTGTTGTTGACCGCGAAATGGACCGGGGTTGCTCAGGGGAAGGGGTGATGACATTCATCAAACAAAGGAGGGGTGACAGACACTACATGTAGTGACACAGGGCTTGCAAAACACAGGAAAGACAGACTCAGAGAACAAGAGTCGTATCAACGTACCCCAACCTCCTGCAACTCCTTGACTGTCTCCAAAACGGTCACTTCATGCGCCGGATTTGCCAGCTTTGTCGACAGCGCCGCCGACAGTCCAGCCAGCCCAGCGCCGATAATTACGAGGTGTATCCCCTCGTCCGTGTTGTTGCTGTGCTCCGCCATGTTGTGTCTCTCGATGTCCCGCACCGTTCCAGGGGGTTGTGACGACGGTTCACAGATACTCTCAAAGTTCGTCTTGCAGAAACGGATTAGGTACGCATTCGGCAGCTATTACGACTCACATACAAGATACATATATACATATATGTGAATACATACACGTATATATGTAAATGTAGATTCAGTTGGGCAAAGCCATAGATCTGCTGGCCCAGCTGCTGTGCCACCGGGAAGTGGGGAGGATCAGGATCCGGCACCTGAAGGCGGGGAAGCTTGCGCAGCGACCCGACGAGGCGGTCCAGCCTGGGATAGCAAATGCCGGACGGCAAATAGGCTCGGGTTCTAATAGTTCAGCCGCTGCGCATCACACACAGTAGTCGAAGTCCAGGGTCCTAACCGTGAGTCTAGGGAATCCTCTACAGGACAGACCGGTAATCTTGCGGGTATCTAATCCATACCATCATCCCTCTCTTGATTTTCCCATCTTTTTCGTTGACCCCCGGCCTCTAACCGATACCCAATGATGCAAGATGCGTACAGTATACATGGGGGAAGTTATGACGACACCTGCCACAATTTAAATGTCTGAAGGGGCACATTAAGAAAGGCCCTTCACGTCTATATCTCACTGAAAACATTACTGATCCTCGGGAATCTTCAGGTCCTCAGGTTCCACTACCCAATCTTCCTCCTCGCTCCATATCGGCGCCAGGGCAAAAGATCCCTGGATCTTGCCCATTCCGTAGGCAGCCCCGGCGTATTGGCTCGCATCGCTAGCCTTTTCCGCCGCGTCATCAATCAAGACAGCCGTCGACAGGAAGTTAGCCTGCACGCCAAGCCCCGCCTCCAGCGGCAGCCCGCCCCAGCTCAGCTCGACCTTCCCGGACTTGCGCACTATCAGATTCCCAATGTAGCCCCCAACCTCCAACCCGTCATTGTCCTCCAAAGTGGTTTTGTCTTCCTTCTTGGTCCTTCTGCTATCATCCTGAGTGAGGTCGATGTTGACGGCTGCGCGAGTTCCGTTGGGAGGCTGGTCCAGCATGACCACGTCGTCGTCGCCACCCTCCGGTTTTACGGTCTTCCTGGCCTCATTGCTATCTCGCCGCACTACCTTCAGTGGCGGAAGGATGCGCGGGAACTGGAAGAGGAACATGTGTCCCTCCAGTGGGGAGCCCATCCCGTCGCTGCCCTGGAGAGTGAACATGTTGAGCATGCGCTGCAGTTCCTCGGCGACAATCTCGGCTTCTGGGTCCTTGGGGGCCGCGGACTTCTTCTTCGGTTTCTGTTCGCCGGCCTGTTGGGCAAGCTCTTTCTTCTTCTGCTCGGGAGATTCAGGAGCCTTGACTTTTGCGGGTATATCGTCCAGGTCCATCTCTTGCCCTTCGGCCTCCTCCGTCTTGACTCGGGCACTGGCGCTTGTTTGCGGTACTGCATGGCCCCAGACGTCCTCGTCCCTAGCGGGCTCTGCCGAGCCTTCACCCGCCGATTGGCCAACGAACAGACCATCTTCGTCCGAGTCGTCGACTTCAAGAACACCTGCTTCTTCCTGGGCCTTGATCTCGGCTGCTGTCGCGATTACCACTTCCTCGTCCTTGTGCTCCACGCGGCGGATACCCATAGGGAGCATGGGCTTCTTCCTCTTCGTAGAGACGATTGTGGCGCGCGGCTCCTCCTCCTCATCGGGTTCTACGTAGCCGTAGAGCATGTCGGCATTGATCCTGTTGCGGTCAATGATGCCCATGGCACCATATTCCCCCTTGACCTCACCGCCCTGCCCTTCTCCCTTGACATAGCTGGGCCCGGATGCGGACCCAGACCCGAACGCAGACCCCGAGGCATAAGCGTAGCCACCTGCACCCGACGGCCTTCCTTCCCCGACTGTTGTGATGTTAGCAATCTACCTCCTTCGCTTTGAAAGAGAAAAGAGCACAAAGAACTCACTGCTAAACCCAGCAGACAACGGCCCCGCAGCGGCCCCTGCAGTCCTTAGATTCCCTCTTAAAAACCCACCACGACCGCGCCCACGGCCCCGCCCGCGCAGCCGGTTGAGATGTGCCAACCGCCTGGCTTCCTCAGCATCCCTTCCGGCCTCTATCCTCGCTTGTTCCTCGGCCAGGCGGGCGCGCTCGGCTTCGCTACGGCGAACAGCCTTTGGCTTGAACTTGCTGCTGCTGGTAGAAGAGCCACGACCCGCCGCCTCTGCTGCCGGGGTGCTCCGGGAGGATGTGGCTACTGTCTGTTGAGATGGTGCCGCGGCGGTAGCGGTCGTGTCGGGTCTTGGGTCGGAGGGTGTCACAGTCGTCGCTGGAGGGGCGTCCGCTGCTGCTGTTGTCGTCGTTGTCTCGGTCGGGGTGCTGGGGGCTTCTGGCTGTGCGGTCGCGTCATTCCGGGAAGGTGCAGCGGCCGCCGCGCCGCGGGCTGTTCCTCCCCGGCCGCGGCCACGACCTCTAGCTGTCGGCTTTGGAGGCATCGGGCTGTTTGTGCAGGAATGTGCTTTTAGTGTAATGTGCAACGACTCACCGAGGGTGGGTGCGCGCGAGGTTGCATTGGTTCCGGAATTTGCATTCGAGATTGCGTCCCTCCTGAATCTTTGCCCCGCCAAAAAGTTGCTTGTGTTAGGGAAGGGTAATGAAATTTAAAATTTCGAAATTTCAACCCTCCTGTGAAATTTTTTCATTCAAGGCCCCCCTGAAATTT